ATGGACAACTCATTGTTCTACAAGGTTTTAATAAAAGCTCAAGCATCTCTACCAGAAATCTTCTGACAATCCCAATATGGGAAAGAACTCAAACAAATGTAGATCTGAAGGGGCTAAATTTTTACTGCGAGCTTATAAGATGTAACCCAAAGAAATGATTGGTCCAACACCTATGCTTTTTAAAGTTTTTATACAATTGGATGAGTCAAATTTACCAGCTAGGAAAATAAATCTTCTGCTTCTCCTGAAGGACGACGCTTTGTCAGAACATAAATTTTCAATTCTAGCATCCTATAACACTACAAAAGATTAAATCTACTAACCTGGTTTATTTGAGAGACAAATACTAACGTTGCAGCAAAGCCGGATAAAACATGTCTGGTCAGAGGCTTGCTGCTGATAGATTGCTCTGAACAGCACTTCATCATTATTTTACCAGGCACTCCCCTGTAAAACAGGAGAGCAAAATGTCACTCTTTGGACTAAATAAGAACAAAAGAAACACAACACTAGCTTGCTAAATGGGTTTAAAACCTAACCGTATACAATTGGTAGTCGCTTTGGATCTGAGAACACAGAGGCATATTTGCATTTGGAATTACATACAAGTATACAGTATCATATGGGAATTGCTATAGTTGAAGATCAAGATCAATGCTCATGGTGTGCATCTAAAGTTAGCTTATTAAACATTTTGAAGATTATTCACTCAAAGAACAATCACCTTGCTTTTCCAGCATTGACATTTGACAGTGCACACCTGAAATACAAGGATTTGTTTTTTGTGTCCATTACTTGTACTCACCATTTGCAGCCGACCCCATTTGTAATAACCAAAACCCAGAAAATCTACTTCTCATTTCCCATTATTTTTCAATGCATTTTGAGCACCAGAATGAGGAGCATAATAAAAATTTAAAAACCCAAGAAAACCAAACCATTTATGAGTAATTGTAACAATATTATGAGCCAAAAAGAAAAAAACCAGCAAAGAAAATGAGAGAATTTTAGCATTAACATTGATTCTTTCAGAAAAGAAAATAAGGTGGAATTAGAGCAGAAATTGCCTCATAATAAGAAAATTATAGACTGGGAAATGAAAGGTGGTGAGATTTGTACCTACAGTTAGAGACATGGGGAGGAGGAGGAGGAGAACATTGGAGGAGAAGTGGTGCTGTTTGAACCAGAGCATGTACCATTTCTACGCTTTCCTTTCAAAGCTTGAGAATTTTCTAGTTTCCACTATTAAAATCTCTTTCCCTCGAAAAATCCTAGTGAAACGTCACCGTCCTGGTCTTCGCTTTGTCCTTTTCAACCACCAAGCAATCCAAAAGTCCCAAACGAACGAGCCTCAACCAAGCCCTTTACTTTTTATATATGTCTTTTCTATTTTCTTTCTTAATTTGTGTTCATTATCTTATGTCTACCTGTATTTATTTATTTATTTTAATCAAAGAAAGATAACTTCATTGAAAAAACGATTTCAGGATACAAAAATAAAAACTGGACTTCAATGATGCAGCCCTTTAAAAAATCTCAAATGGAAGAAAATCTGGTTAAAAAAAAAGAGTACCACAACATCACAACCATTATAAAATAAGAAAATAACTTGTCATTGGCCAAAACATCATAAATAAACAAAGGACCATCCTCTAGCCAAACTTGAAAATCCTGAGACAGAAGTGTCTACTTAGCTAATAGATAAGCAACCTAATTACACTCCCGAGGAGCAAATTGACAAAAGATACGAGCAAAAAGATTAAAAAGGCCCTTGATTTCATCTACTAAAGCACCCTCCACCGACCAGATTTGCTC